GTCTGTCAAATGTCAAAATTAAGTTAAACAAAAAGAAGAGTTTTTGTAAGGTTTATCTAAATTTAAAAAATTTTTTTGTTGATTCAATTGCTTAATTTGCAATTGCAATTGCAATTGCTCAATTGCTTACTTCAACTGTTGCATTTTTCTTTTCTTCTGTTATTAAGAGCGTTTAATAAATTAACAGATCTCTGAAAGTAGACAAAACAAAAATTGATAATTAGAAGTTTGGCAGTTTGTTAACTCACTATTTAGTAGGTACAATTTCTGTTGCTTAATTCATTCAGAGGTAGAAGAATTATTTCCCTACAACAGTTATAAGATATTCAGCTGTTTGCCTGACATAAGTGTAGGAGCAGTTGCATTGTTTACAACTTCATCCTTGTTACTCATCTTCTGAGGTTTATTGGCAACAGATAAAAGCAGATCCAGTTGGTTATCATCTCTGCATTTCACCACATCTTCAAGGAACAGTGGAGAGTGTAATTTAGAGTTTAGTGTTTTTAAATGATCTTGATTCAACGACGTAAGTTGTAGTGGTTTTCTGGAAGCAGCAGTTTCTTTGCACTGAGAAGCTTTTAGCTCTTTTTCTGACAAACCGAGATCCTCTAGTGGTATAAGAAGTCGAGTTGTAGACTTTTTTGCTGTTGGTTCTGCTTCATTGTTATGCATTAAAATTTCCACGACAGGAAGTTGATCTATAGTTTGCAAATTTGGATCAGCTAAAAAGTCAGTTGTTTATCGTATGATCGTAATACAAAACTGTTGCTGTATCAATCAATTAGGTCTTCGAAAAAAAAAAGACAATAATATTGCTTTTAAAAATTAAATTTAAAAGAGAAAAAAAGGTGGCAAAATCAACAAGGAAAACAACATTTATTGTAGTTGTTTTCAAAAAAAAAAAACAAAAATAAATATTAATTTTTTTTTTTGTCGTATTAATAACTAATCATAATTTTTCTAGAAAAAATGTTTAAAATACAAAAATATAATTTATTACTTGCTGAATATGGCTGTCGAAATACATAGATCTTTTCTGTTGGTCCAGGTTCCTCATCAAAATCATCAAATTTCGCCAGTATTTCATCTTTTTCATCGCGCAAACTGCCGCATTCACTAATTTGTCTAAAAAACTTCTGATTACTGCTCTAGATTTTTTTTTTGATAAATAAACGTCAAGAACATGCAAAAAAAGTCTGTTGTATTTTGAATTAGGAAATTAGAGACATTAAAAAATTACCCTAGCAATTATGCAAAACAACTGAAGTAATGATAATGGACCTCATTAAAAAAAAATTTTTTTTTAAAAAGAAGTTAAAGCAACATACAGAGAAAATCTTTCATGTCTTTTTCCACTGTTCACTTGCGTGACAGTAGCTAATACTTTCTGAGGCCAATTACATTGTTCTGGCTTCTCAAGTGAACTGTGTCCGTTCAGAATTATCTTCTTGACCGTCGTAGGCACTAAACCATCAGTCAAATTTGATCTAAAATAATACTAAGTGATAGCCAGTACTGAAATAAAAACAACTTTTCAATAAATATATTTTTTCGACTTTTTCAGGTAACTACTTCTTCTTAGACGTTACTCAAATATAACCCTTGTTCCATTGGAACCGCTAATGAAATTTAAATAAAATAAATGTCACATTTGGAATTCAGTTAAAGATAAGGTAAAACAACAATTTTATGTAAAAAGTTATTTTTTAGAGCAGATATAAAGCATTTATTTCAGTTAGATTCTTATTTTTTGTTTATAAATTTAATAAAATAGCTATTTTACTCCAATTTGAGATTTTATTCAAACAAGACGAAGATATGTTTTGATAAAAAATCGTTTTGAAATGAAATAA